TACCCTGAAGGAGTCAAAGCTTATAGACTATGGTGCCTAGAACCAGGTCACAGGAGGTGTATCACCAGTCGAGATGTAGTTTTCAATGAAGTAGAGATGACTTTCAAGAAAACTGATGATGCTGACGAAGATCTGGAACAGGGAGAGATTCCTGTTGAGGTGAAGCATGTTGATGCTGAATTGCTTACCCCAGATGAAGTTGAAGATGAGGCAGAAGATGTTGTCGAAGATGAGGATACTGATAATGACTACCTGTTAGCAAGAGACAGGTCGAGGAGAGTCATCAAGCCATCTTAGAGACTTGGGTATGCAGATCTTATAACTTATGCCTTAATCTCTGTTAGTGAGGTTCTAGACGAAGAACCTAGAGACTATAAGGAAGTTATGAGGAGTCAAAAGAAGACTAAATGGCTGAAGGCCATAGATGATGAGATGAAATCTCTTCATGATAACAACACCTGGGAACTGATTAAGAAACCTACTAGAGCTAGGTTAGTCAGCTGTAAGTGGATTTTAAGGTACATAAATGGGTCTCTGAATAGAGTCCTAATTTATGGTGGAGCCTTGGGTGAAGATAGTAAAACAACAATCGAAGGATATGTCGACTCTGATTATGCAGGTTGTATGGATTCCAAAAAATCTATCTCTGGATATGTGTTCACTATGTTTGGGACAACAATAAGTTGGAAAGCAACACTTCAGAAGGTCGTTGCCTTATCAACCACTGAAGCAGAGTATATTGCGCTAACTGAAGTTGTGAATGAAGCATTGTGCCTCAAAGGTTTTGCAGACAAGCTAAAACTTCAAGGTCCAATTATCACTGTTAAATGTGATAGTCAAAGTGCAATACACCTGTTGAAGAATTCAACCTATCATGAGCGAACCAAGCACATTGATGTGAGGCTGCATTTCATCAAAGGGGTAATCGAGCGTGGAGAAGTCCAAGTGCTAAAGGTTTCGACAGATCATAATGCTGCTGATATGATCACCAAGACGTTGTCCAGTTGCAAGTTTTTCCACTGTATGCAGTTAATAAAGCTGCATGAAGAAAGCTAGTTTCTTGATGTTATAAAGTTAGATTCAAGGTGGAGATTTGTGAGATGTTGGATCGAACTCTAGTATGGTCGAAGTCTGTTCGCGAGTAATGCATGTTGTAGTCGAAGTCTGTTTTAACATGCATTAGTAAATATTGCTAGGGTTGTTAGCATGTTGAATTGGGCCTTGCTTGTAAGCCCAATTGTTTAAGTTAGCTTGTACTCTAAGTTAGCTTGTAATGGGTAATTGTTAAAAAGCCCATTAGGTTAGTGTGCTATTTTATTATAAATAGAATGCTAGTTTCTCAATCTTGGCATAAGGAAAAATACGAAGATAAAATCCTAATTTCAAGAGAGAGAGGTTATTTTGTTATTCTTGTATACTTGTAATCTTGTTTTAAGAGAAATGAAAGAATAGCAGTTTAATAACCAATCTTTGTTGTTTTCTTCTTTATTAACCCTAACCCTTGTGTGTTTCTTGCTAAGAAACCGTTTATACTTTGTTTGAAGGTATCTGATTCACACCAATAATATATTAGGTATGATTAGTATGTTAGAAATGATTTTAGTATGTGTTTTATTCAGCTAACAATATGTCAGACTAAATTTAGAGTCTGAAATGTGAGGATTGTCGTTCTAACGGTGCTCGCATTTGAGTTATAATTTAAATAATTAAATGAGATTTGTTTAGGGACTAAATTTTAATCTGTTTTTAACTTAAAAATTTATCGCGAAAGCACAATTTAGAGACACCGGTTCATATTTAAACGAACGAAACAGTAATCGGACTTAAGTAAAAATTCAGAATTTAATTGATTGATTTGCGAAAGCAACTTTTCATTAAATTACAAAAATAACTATTTTTCAAAAAGGGATTTTAAGAACATAAACAGACACTTGAAAACAGACGTTTATGCACTTAAAATTTGGCATTAAACTAGCAAAGTCAGTAATACATTTAAACTTTTTTTCATCTTAAACAACTTTTTGATTAATTTAAAGTAATTAATTTTCAAAAATAGAAATTTTGCATCTTAACACGCTGAACACGCAGTACAAATTTTAGGCAAAAACTTTGTTCCGGATACAAGAAAGCGAGCAATTCCTTTAAATTAATTATTTTTATTATGATAAAATACTATCTCAATTTAATTAATTATTATTACGATTTTGATTTTGCGAGTACCGTTGGTCGATGCAGGCTACATTATGGACTCTGCTTTAATTGATTTTTTATACTAGCTTATTTTGATTCCATTGCATCAAATATTATTGTTATTAGCCTTAGATTTACACTGAAGTGATATATAATGATACAATTGACATTTGATCTCTGTGGATTCGATCTTTTTATTACTATGATATTTCTGTGCGCTTGCAGATTTATCAATCATGTAGATGATACATGTCGAATTCTAGAAATATTACCATTGTTGATAGTTATTCATGTACATAATATATAAGTAGATTTCGTTTCTATAATGGAGGTCCGCGTTTCATTTTATTCTCTTTAAAACTCTCGTATCCAATTTACTAAGATCTTGAGTCTGTGAGAAATGTATGAACTTATATTTCATATTAAATTTAAACACTTTCTATTGCTTTTTGAAATTTACTTTTTCTTGTTCTTATGTTAAGTTAAGAGCGTTTGCTCAAGTTCTTTAGTTATTTGCGTTAGGAAATCTTACATCACTGTCACACTTTTGTTAAACGTTTAACACAAATTATCTTTTAGGATTTATTGAGTTTGATCCTGCAAGTGAATTAAAACTCGTGATTGTTTACTGAAAAACATCAATAAATAATTGCATAATAAATTTGAAATGTCTATGATGAGGGGATTACGATACTTACTTGGATTGTAAATTCATGGATAAAACTATGTCAATTTCAACTCCAATGAGTACATCATATAGTTTAAATAAGGACGAAGAAAGAAAAGTATCTTTAGAAAGCAAATATCAAGCTACGATATACTCTCTCCTTTATCTTACTCCATCTTGTCATAATATCATGTTTGACGTGTGTTAGTTTACAAGTTTTCAAACAAACCCTAAAGAATCACACTCCACTACAACCAAACGCGTTATGATGTATCTCAATACCACACCACTTATAAGTTTATGGTACCCAAAGAAATGTATTGTACTTTAGTTGAGTACTATGATTCTAATTTTGCTAATTGTAAATTGGATCGAAAAAGTATCAACGATATGCATCATTTGCTTGAAAACTCATTAATATTAAGAAACAAGTATTGAATTATTTACCGCTGGAGCATAATTCGTCATAATAGATAGTTATTGTGCGCAAATTTTTAAGATGAAAGAAAACTTAAGTGATTAAAGAATTAAATTCTCACTAATTTTTTAAAAGACGTAATTGAAAAGTATCATATCATATACCTGGTGTATATATGATTAATGACATAAAATATTCATATTAGTGGAAATAGATATGGTTACATAATCTATACCTACATGTATTCATTCAAACATGTTTTGATATTTTGATTTGTATTTATTATTTAAAATATTTGAAATATATGTATGAGGTTTGTTAAAATATTTTATTTTTATTATTTGTAAAATAATTTGATTTAAAAAAAATTAATTTTATTAAATAAATAGTGGGAGAGCGTATATATATATATATATCTAAATCCAACTCAAACCTGTTTAATTCTCCTTTTAAGCTAGATTGGGACATGAAAAGAAAATTATTTTAAGATTTGAATTTAGTTTGAAGGAGATAAAATCTGTCTCCAAGCGTAATATGAAATATTCTTCCTACATGTTTGTGTTGTAAGGAATCCTTCTAAAACTTGTGCTTGTGAGTTTTCCACATCTCCATTCCTATGGTACATTGACAACACTTGAATTTGTCTATCTCATTCACAATATAAACATATTTAAACATGGACCATTTTTACTTTTTTTTAAGTTAATTCTTTTTATGATAAAAACTATAGTAAGTTTTTAATCTTGACTCTAAAAAACATATATGATGACCGAAACAATTTCACGTATTTACTAAGCTAACAAATAAGAAAAGAATGGGAACCCGATTCAAATGTGAATTGAATCAACCTTTATGGATTACGACTAAATGTAAAAGCTTTAAATAGAAAAAACAAAAGCATTGAATTGAATAAAAAAACATACTAAAATATTAAGACTTTTCCCATAGCCAACTGGTATAAGTTTCGAATGAATCAATTAAGAAACAAACCACCTTTTTTGCTGTGAATTTAATTTTGTTGCATTAAAAGGTAATCTTTCAGCAAACAATCCTTCTCTGTAATCGCAGGTTGTCTATCTGAATTCAGAATCTGTCGTTTTCTACAACAGTTGTTAATCACCGAGTGAGAATGGAACGAAGAACATAACTAGTCTTCATCTGACCCCACCTTACTTACTACCAACCAAAAACTTCGCTTTTCTCTGTTCTAATTTCAACTTTTCACGTTTCACCATTCATTTTTTCCTTCTTGCTTGCCTTGGGAAGGTGATTCTTTCTCCTTTCTTCTACTCGTGTCTTTTGATTTCATATCAGCTTTAGTTCATGAACTCTCTATGTTTTTTTCTTTCTTTTTTGGGTTTAGGGTAAGTAGTTTAATTAGTTCTTGAATTGCGATGGAATTGGAGAATTTTGTAACCTAGGTTTTAGTTTCTTGTTTGATGTTTTGGTTCTAAGGATTAGTTTGAATTAGTTGACTTCTGTTGAAATTTCTATTTACCAGGTTCAATTTGTTGGGAAAAACTTCATATTCTTGTTTTCCCAGTTGTGTTGCTGTGTGCTTTTGAGTTTTTTCTTCTGAATTCACATGCCTTTGCAGTTTGCATGCTTATATCTCCTTGTGTTTGGAATTGAAATGTTTGAATGAGTGACACTTTGCTTATGTTGTAATACTGTAAATAATGCAGGTGTAACAGAAGAGTTGTTACATTATATACTAGGATCATTATGAGTTGTGGCTGCTTTGGAGCCTCAACTATCAAGAAGAAAAGGACTCCGCCTAATACTCCTAATGAAATTGATGGTGAGTGATTGTGGTTACTTGTTTTAATATGATTATGTCCGTTTAGTTCGCACTTAAGTGAAAACATGATTTAAGTATTGGCAAAGACCTCCTTTGTAGTTTTTTACTGGTTAGGTTTTATTCGAAATGTTATACAACGACGATGTTCAGAAATGTTACAACCTTTTCCCGTTTAGCACTATACTTAATGTAAGGTCTTGTTGCTCAGGGTATCCACTTGATAATATTCTGCATTTTTCTGAAAAAGACTTGAGAATGGCCACGGATAATTATCATCCAAGCAAAAAGATAGGACGCGGAGGTTTTGGCACAGTTTATCAGGTATTCAGGTCATCAAGTCTTGCATAAGTTACAACATTATGGAATTAGTATGCTTTGTTAATCAGTTGATTTAGGATTTCATTTGCTATGCAAGTGTTAATATTAGACAAGTTAGGGCTATGTACTATGCAATGGAAGACATTATCATGTTTTTGGGGCTGTAAAAAATCGCTGCTGTAGTATTCAGAGAAGAAATTATGACTTATATGTTGTTCATTTGAGGTTATATACAAGGATGAAAACATCTACTGGCAAAGTTGGTTATAAACTAATTTGCTACAGCTTAGGATACATAAGTAGAACCACAAAGGATAAGCTATAAAACAAAATAATTCAGATCTTAATCTATCCACACTAAACTGTCTGCTTCGTGGCCCCATCATAGTGGGTTATGGCGGAAAAATCCCCAGTATCAGCCGATATTTACCACTGCGGCGAAGCCCATAAACCGCCATTGATATCAGCCTGACGCCACCATGGCCGATATTCAATAACAGTGATATACACTAGTTCAACTTCAAGCTATCTTTACACCCTCAAGTTGGTGAATAGATATCAATCATGTCCAACATGCTTACAAAAAGTTTAAACTTAGGTTGAAATAACTCTGCAGGCAAGGATGTGTGCTAGTTGTTGAGTGGATGGAACAAATGAAATACATATATCTCTGTCATCTATTTTCCCTTTTGTCAAGTGTCTATCAATTTTCATATTTTCACAAGTTTGGTTCTGTCGTGCTGCACTGGGTTTTGAACAATGCTTGTAGCAGCCTTAATATCACATAGCTTCATTAGTAGGTTTATAGGGAAATTGAAATTCTTCAATAGGTTATTTTGTGTATAATGTCACACTTTTATCATTTTATGCTCTTATTGGTTGTTAAGCTAATACTAAATACACGTGTTGAAATTTTGTTAGGGAACCTTAAAAAACGGAAGACAAGTAGCAGTGAAGAGCCTTTCAGCTAGCTCAAAGCAGGGAGTTCGCGAATTTTTAACTGAAATTAAAACTATATCACATGTTAAGCATCCAAACCTTGTCGAATTGGTTGGTTGCTGCGTTCAAGAACCTAATCGTACATTAGTTTATGAGTATGTGGAAAATAACAGCCTTGATCGTGCATTACTAGGTAAAAATCTAACAAAATCATGTGAATTATGGAATCACTAGTTAAGATCGATACATATGCAGATCAAAGGATGAAAACATAAACTTTTTTCTCCCATTTTCTTTCGTAGGAAATACAAATACAAACATTAAGCTAGACTGGGGAAAAAGATCTAATATTTGCATAGGTACTGCTAAAGGTCTTAAATTTCTCCATGAAGAAGTTGTTCCTCGCATTGTGCACAGAGACATTAAGGCTAGCAATATATTACTCGACAAAGACTTTAATCCAAAAATAGGAGATTTCGGGCTGGCTAAGTTATTTCCAGACGACATCACCCACATTAGCACAAGAATTGCTGGAACAACGTAAGTTATATGGCGGTTTATTTTTTAGCTTCGGTCTTTTGAAAACTGTTCAATCTACATTTGCACCACGAACTCATGAAAAACAACTTTTGTTTCAATATGCACAGTGGTTACTTAGCGCCCGAGTACGCAATGGGTGGCCAGTTAACCTTGAAGGCTGACGTATATAGTTTCGGAGTTCTAATACTTGAAATAATTAGCGGACAAAACAGCGCCAAGACAAACTGGGGAGGCTCAAACAAATTCCTCTTGGAATGGGTACATTTTCAGCTTCAATATTTAAACATTTCCCCAAATATCTACACGGTGAGAAACGAGTATAACTTTTCTACGCTGACAGTACATAACGATGATGCTTTTTCGGCAATAACAGGCCTGGCAACTTCATGAAGAAGGAAAACTGCTGGAGCTAGTGGATCCAGACATGGTTGAATATCCTAAGGAAGAAGTGATTAGGTACATGAAAGTAGCTTTCTTCTGCACACAAGCAGCAGCAAGCAGAAGGCCAATGATGTCACAGGTAGTTGATATGCTTTCCAAGAATATAAAGCTTAATGAAAAGCAATTAACAGCACCAGGATTCTTCCAGGCTTCAGGAGAATCCTCTCTAAAGAAGTCATCCTTTGAGTCCACAAGCCATCAGTTTAGTTCTGTCCCTGCTAGTTTTACTCAGGTCAGCCCGCGGTGATGCCGGAATCGAAGTAATGTGTGAATTGCAGAGTTGATAAATAGATGAAAAGGGAAAAATATCAAATTTCATTTTTAGTTTAATAGATTATTTTTTTGGTCTTCTTTTAGTTTTCTTTTTTCCTTTTGTTTATCTATATCAACGCTTTTCTCTCACGAGTTCATATTTTTAGAGGCTCCTTCAAGCAGCATTTTAGTTTATGTAATCATATTTTCAGCCCTTTTTACCATTATTATCTTGGTTTAAAATTTTTAAACATTACTATTTTTTTGTCATTTTAGATTTTTGAGTTTTTTTTTTAATTTTTTTAATTTTTAATTTATGAGACTCAACCCTTAATACAAAAAAGAAACACAACTAAAGTGTCTCAAAGAAACCAAAAGGACAAAGAATTAATTGAAAAAACAAGTTGGATTGCCAATCCTCCCAGTCTAAACCAGGAACAACTTTAAAAAGAACTAGAAACAACTCCCAATTGAATTTAATAATGTTGTCCCAGCAATTCCAACAACCTGTTATTGCCTCCGGTTTAAGGATAGCCAAGTTCTTCCGATACCAAATATTCCAACATACAAGCAACACCAAAACAAACATCCAACCTGTTTATTGTAAACTTCATTCGAATTGTCCGCGAACTGAACGAAATGGTCAACCATATTATCCAGCAAATCAATAGACTTGATAGGAAGCCAACCACAAACTCTAATTCACATAGAATAACGAAACGAACAGGAACATAAAATGTGATTCGCATCTTCAACGTTGATGAAACAAATTTGACAAACCGAAGCAATTATCTCTGACCAGCATACCATGGCGGCGCAAATTGTTTTTGGAGGGAAGACGATTGAGCAACAGTTTTCAGCTAAACACCTGCACTTGGAATTTTGGAATTTCAAACTGTTTGCAACACCTTGGCAGCATCCCGCTAGAATCGGAGTCGAAGGTGCGAGCAGAGTATTATAAGCGCTTTTAATTGTGAAAGAATTCTTGGCTGGCCACCAAATAAACCGGTCTGCAAGATCCTGAGAGGGAGAGACCTCTACCAAAATCAGTTCTAATTCCAACAGCAGAATCTGCTCTTCATAAGTCAGAATTTCCATATTAAAATTTATCTTCCACTGCCAAATGGAATTGCTCCAATAACCTCCATCCTTAACCTTAGATTTCGGGTTGACGACAATGCAATATTGAAAAGGAAAAATAGAAGACAGTTTCCTTTATCCCACCAAATCGCATTCCAAAACTAATAAGATTATCTTGTCCCAATCTCCGGATCTAGAAGGGGTTGAATAGATCCCTTATTAAAAATCAGTCGGCACTACCAATAAAATTGGTTTTAAAAAATTGTTTATAACTACCGTCTATAACGAACCGTTACTAGAGGACCGAATATGCGTCTAGCCTATGGATATTGATAATGGGCACAGAGAATCATCACACTAGTCACACTATAAATTGATTTATATCACTTGGTATGACTAGTTCCAATGCCTTAATATGCCAACAAAATAATTGGATAGCACAACAGAATTTTGTTTCAGGCAATTTATCAAACACTTAGCGTGCGGAGCACCCCAAGTAATTTCGGCTTTGAGTAAGTAGCACTAGTTTTCTTGTACAATAAACTATTGTACTATAGTCAAAATTACTTCAACACTTACTCAACAATCCTTAATTTGATATTATTGTTTGAACGAAATTCACGCAAATATTAAGCAAAATGGAAATGCGGAAAGTAAAAAGACACGAAGATTTGTTGAGGCAGTTACCCCGCCGTCCTCGCTTCGGGGTACGTCTGCCCTCAATTCTAACACTAGAATTGAGCTCGTATAATATAAATGTAACCTGTTGTTGAATCGTTATACAAGAATGAAATAACAAGTGAACAAACAAACTCCCTTGTTGTTGAATATGCTTTCTCTACTTGTCCCTTGATTCGAGTCGAATTAAGTTCCTCGATTGCTTGTGTATGAACCTCCAATTATAGCTCCTTGGTTGAACAACCTTGCGTTTTCAAACCCCAGCCTGGTTGATATCAAACACTTGCAAATCAAACCCGAACCTCTCCTTCATAATTCACCGATTTCCGCTACTAGATCGACGGAACCCACCGCTCCTCGATCACCTTCACTCAGCTGAATATATGTTGAGAAGATTCGTACCAAAATCCCCCAAATTCGGAGAATCTTGGAGGGCAAAACCCTTAAGGTTTTGTTCAAGAAAAACCTGTCAAATCTCAACCCGAACCGGATTCCCAATCAACGGCTCCGGACATTATCACTTCAAACAAACCATAATGCACAACAAAGATTATTTTGTGTGATTGTTGTGGTATGAAATCTAGAAGATGAAGATGATGAGAACTAATGACACCTCTTTCACTTTTTTTGTTTTGCAATTGATTCAATTGTTGTTGATGAAAATGAGCATCTTTCTATTTATAGTATGCCAAAAAATAACAGACAAAACCACTTTTCGAAATAAGTGGAAAGATCAGAATTATGCAGAAAAACAGCGAACGGTCGACCATACAAAAAGGAGTGGTCGACCGGAACTCTCCAAACATAACAGATTATGCAAAGTAACAGGCTATGCGTCGACCAAAACATGACCATGCGTCGACGCAAAGTCAGTATTTTTAGACAAACAGAAATAACAACAGTATGCGTCGACCGAAGGTCGACGTGCGCCAACCCGTATAAAATACACTTTGTAGACACCTTCTATGAGTCGACCAGAGCAAAATGAGTGGTCGACTCAAAGACCTGTATTTTGCAAAAATGCATATTTTTATGTTTTTGACACTTCTAGATGCAACATATAATCCACCAATGATGTTTAACTCGAATGACGCTAATTGGATGACACAACATGCAAGCAAATGAGACGTAAGAGATAAGGTATTCTTAGGCCTTGTGGTGATAATGCCAAGTACCGATTCTTCCATGTGGTTGCGTTTTGACATCATCGAAACACACATGTATAGTATATGAGGCTTTGTCCTCACATACTCCCCCTTTTTTATGATGGCAAAACATGTGAAACCGGCTTGTGTGATGTGCAGTATTAACCTCCCCCTTGCTAGATGCCTCTATTTGCGACGTCTTCCATTTGCAACTCTCATAGTTTTTACTATTATCTTGGCACACTCTTCTCCCCCTTTGACAACATCAAAAAGAAAGAGAGTTTGGTTAAGAAATAAAGGCTCAAATCAAAAGGAATGTACAACAGGTAACAATCAACATGAACAATTATCCACACATGATAAGGTCAACGATCAAAAGACGAATAGGTAAGCAAACCATATATTAATAAAACACAGAACAATTAATGCTCAGGAAGTCATAAAGCATTCAAAAATGCAAAACATTGTCACAATTAGAAATTATTTAATACAATGCAAAATAACAAGACAACATAAAAAGGATGAAATGCAAGGATGCTTCAATATCCCCTCCCCCTGAAGTGTTGGCCTCTTCCACGATACGGATCTGCCATGTCGGTAAATTCCAAAACAACATTGTTCAAGGTATTGAAACGGTGTGAAATGGCCTGCTCCTGACTTTCAGTCGATCCAACTAGAGCATCTAACCGTTCATTAATATTCGAGGAGAAGGTGTTGAATCTTTCAGTGTGTGTCTCGAATTGGCTCTGAATTTGGGCGAACCGCTCGTCCTGAGCATTCATAAAGGTACGTTGCTCTAACTGCATGACCCTCATCATATCTAGAAGCTCTGAAGACTGTGGCTGCGGGGGATTCATTGGCTCTTCATAGCCCCACTGTGAAGGCTGATAGTATTCATGCATTGTTGTCCACCCGGTGTATTGCCACTGACCCCAACCTTGGTCATTACTATCTTCTGTGGATGGTGTATGTTGAACCCAATCCTCATTTATTTGATCGTCAGCCTCCATTGGTTTTCGATCATCTTACTCCTCTTGTTGTTCTTCTTCTTCCTCTTCACTTTCCTCCCCACTCTCATCGGAGTCTTCTACCCGGGAAGTAGTGGCTTTAACAACAAATTTATACCGTTGTTCATCATGAAGCCAGATATAACCCATCATGGTAAGAGTTTTCTGACAAAACTCTTGGTCAAAAGTGAGCGATTTATACGGAAATGCCGGAAGTGCAACTTTAGCACTAGTTAGGAACTCTTGAATAACTGACCCATAAGAGAGAGTTGTGCCACGACCTGAGTCCCTTAAAGCGTAAACCCTACTTACAATGTAGTAAGGCCAATTAATTTTAATCTTGTTTCTCAAAATGTACATCAAGTGAACTTCCGCCGAATCAACGCGAGAAAAACCACCTTTCTTAGGCCACAAAATGCGAGCCACTATCCATTGCAGAATCCTATCCTATGGTTTCAACTTTCCTGTGGTGACGGTCTTCATAAATAAGTCGCTTGCCACAATATGATCAGCATACGACTTTTTTAACATAGAGTTCAAATCTGTCTTGAACTCATAGCCTTCCACCGTGCGGGAGTCAGTGACCTCAAAGAGAGGTTTGTCCGAATCAAGAGACATATCAAAGTATTTTTGCCAGACAACAGTAGTGACACTAACCTTTGTGTTGCAAATCTTAGTGTGAAATTGAGAACCCGGAAATTTGTCGTGAAGACATGTGTAAAAGATGCGTACAATGTCTTCATTATATTTTTCATTGCACTCCAAAAAGTTGTTTACCCCTTGAAAATCAAGAAGATCGATGATGCAAGGAATGTGCACGCGCTCCGCCGAGAGACGATAATAAGTGTGTTGCTTGACCACCGATCTTTTACTAAATTTCTTGGTGAAGCTTTCAGTAAACTCCGGAGGCACTAAGGATACGGCGGAAACCGGAATAGAAGCAGATGAGGAGGCCCTTGAAGTTCTTTTACCTGTCACTCTTCTTGCAGCCATGGTTGTTGAGCTCAAATAGATGATAAGAGAGATAGCGTGATGATGATTTGCAAGGATTGGAGAAGATTGTTGAATGTGTAGAGAGATTAAGA